CATCTCTGCCTTGCCTTCTGTGATTCTGGTTTATCTGCTCTTTGGTTATCAGATAATCCCTCAGAATTCCTAAATCACTACCAACATGTCGTAGGACTGCGTACTATCTCATTCATGTCCAGTAGGAGAGAGACCATCTTTGTCCTCTTGTTCCCAGCACAAATCTTGTGATTCATGCTGTTTGGACTGGCTTTGGTATCAAGTCAATTCCTAAATCAATCATTATGGTTAGGAAAATGGCTCAGATCATGTGTTCCATTCTTAGCACTGGGTGTGGTCAGTTCCCCACCTTAGCTCTGGATGTACATTACAATTACCTGAGCAGATTCTAAAGAATCCTGATGCCCAGGCCTCACTCATAGAGATTCTACTTCAATTGGTCTGGGGTGGGGCCCGGGCACTGGCATTTTTTAAAGTGCCCCAGGTGATTGTGATGTTCAGCCAAGGTGGAGAACCATGGCTTAGACATTGTATAGCCTCATGGTGCAGGTTCAGACCACCCACATGGGAAGGTTCACAAGTACAGATCCTCTGCTTGGGCCTAAGTGTATGTATGCCTTGCTAGGGGCTGGCCACATGTCTAGCAGCCCTAGATAACCACATGGCAGCACTCAGGAGGCCCAGAGAAACAGAGCCGCATCCTCTACAATTTCCAACCGTTAGAAATTGTAGCCAGTGGCAATCAGACTGGGAGTATTTCGTGCATGTGTGACATTTGGTGACCTGCTCTCACTTTGGTCCATGGGCACTTATGGCTTTCCCCTTCAGTGCATCTGTTTCCTCATCTGCTATTTGGATTCAAGTACCCATGCCTCTTTGAACTGACTACAGATGAGTGAGATTTGTGTGTGTACCTTCAGTTCCCTGGGGAGAGACAGAATCCCTTGGCAAGAAGGCTCTATGATGGAGTGGGAAGAGTTTAATCTCTATGGAGCTTTGCTACCCTAGGTAGGTGCCCTTACCTCTTCAGGTCCAAACCAGGAAAATGAGGACTCTATCTCCCAGAATGCCCTACATCAACATGAAATGAGATAATGTATGTAAGCCCCTAGTGCATTATCTGGCACATAATAGGTGTTCAGTAAATTGCTTTCCTTCCAAGAACGCCATGGTTAGCTCTTCATCTTTTTTAATGTGATGTTAAACGGGGACTCTAAGACATAGTGTCCAACATAAGTAATAATTTGTTGCTTTTGGTTGAAGCCACTTGGTCAACCCCTGGACTCCAAGCCCCTCAGCAGGAGCTTCTGGCCACTTCTTCATCTCTGTATCCCCAACCATATCATATGAGGCTCCAGACTTTCTACAGCTGAGGGTCTTGAGAGTGGCAATCTTGTTGGAAGGAAGGTGTTGTGAGGGGGGGGGGGTCTCATCTTAAAGACATATTTGCTTTTAGTCACAGTATTTGCATTTAAATGAGATGCTTGCTTGGGGGTAGTGGAGGATGATGACTGATTGGCACTGGGTCTGGCATAAAGTAAGTACAAATAGCTGGATGCCAACTGAATGGACGAGCCTTCCGTTTTCACAGCTTACTCTCCTGGCCAATTGAGTTATGGAGGAAATGAAGATTAAGAGTGTAAGAAATAGTTCTGTTTATTGATTAGAACATGGTATAAAATTACAATTTGCAGGCATTCTGGGCTTTCTGGGAGGGGCATGCAGTGCTAGGCTCTAGCAGGAGATGGAGTGAGGGCATGGACCACTGGGCATTGGCTCTTTTCCTGGGCACATCAAGGGACTTGCACTACCAGCACAGATGCCAGTGTGAGAAAGAATTATTGGTTCTTGCCTCTGGAAACAAAGGATTTGGGCAGTTTGGGTCACCAGACAATGCCATGCTTAAGAATTCAGTTCTATCCTACATATGTTAGGTGCTGGCTCTCCCAATCTAGTCATATACGGATTCATATTGTTCTGTATAATGCTCATTCTTCCCACCAAAAGAAGGGAAACAGGCACATTGGTTTGGGAGGCCACTAGAGGATGGTGTGCATTTGGCTCAGGTCATCTTGCTTCCGGATACATCAAGGTCTGCTGGACTCAGAGGCAGTGGGCTGGGTCACGCAAGCAGAAAAGTGTGCACTACTGTTTAAGCTCAAGCAGAGGGACCTTCCATAGGGCAGCAGCATGAAGAGATGAGCATGCTTCCAAAACAAACCCAATTTCATCTTCTCTCTCTCAAGAAGACGGAGAAGGAAGAGTTTGCAATCAGAGACTGAGCCATGTGATGCTGGGTTCCATAGAAAGTCTCCAGCGGAGAATTCTTCCAAAATGTAAAAGGTGTTTCTGTCCCAAGAGTCGGTGTGCAAAATCAGAACAAGGGCAGATCAAGGTGTTAAGAGGTGGTTGTTCAGTACAATGTCTCTGAGAGCTGGATGGCTATGTCCATAGTCACATGACATTTTGGAATAGCTGGAGGGACCTCATGATGTTGTCATCCTGGGAGAGGGGAGGAGGGGGAAAAGAGAGGATGGTTAGAACTCTCTGAGGCTCCTCCCTGAGAAGCTCTGTAATGGTGAGCACGTCTCTAGTGTGGGTTTCCCATGCAGAAAGAATGCTGCAAGGGCACTAGAAATAGGAAAAAAGAGTGGGGGCCCAGAGAGTGAGCAATTCAAGGCAAGAGGCACCTTCTCTGGCCTTAGGAAATTTTTGTTGTTGTTTTTTAAAATTTTATTTATTTATTCATGAGAGAGAGAGAGGAAGAGGCCGAGGGAGAAGCAGACTCCCCACGGAGCAGGGAGCCCAATGTGGGACTTGATCCCAGGACGCTGGGATCATGACCTGAGCCGAAGGCAGACTTAGCCTTAACCGACTTAGCCACCCAGGTACCCTGGCCTTAAGAAATTTGTAAGAAATAAAGTATCGAGTGAAACAGTGAATATTACCTTTTTTAAGAAGCTCTGTGCAACTGCATTTTATCAAATGATTTTTCGACATCTACTGAGATGACTGCATTTTTTAAAAAATTCTGTTATTAATTATATTGGTTCATTCTTGAATGTTAAACCAAACTGGCATTTCTGTAATAAACCTTTCTGTTCTTTCTTTTTTTTTTTTTTTACATATTACTGGATTTGATTTTTTACTCCTATATCCAGAGGGAATATATTAGCTTAAACATTTTATTTTGTAATGGCTTTGCCATGTTTTCATATTAGGGTTATGATAGCTTCATAAATCAAGTTGAGAAGTTTTTCCTCTTTCTCTATTCTCTGAGTTTGTGTGAGATTAATATCGCTTATTCCTTGGAAAGAGTTTGAAAGAATTTATGGGGTAAGACATCTGTGTCTGCCATTTTCTTTATGGGAAAATTTTAAATTACAGATTCAATTTCTTTAACATACATAGGACTATTCAGATTTTCTATTTCTTTTTGTGTTAGTTTTGATAAATTATATTTGCAAGGAATTTGTGGATTTCATACGTTGTCAAATTTGTCAAATAATGAACTATTATCTTTAAATCTGTAAATCCTGTAGCGTTGTTACCCTTTCCACTCCTGATACTGATAGTTTGAGCTTTCTCTCTCTTTCTCTTTTGTTTAAATCAATCTTGCTAAGCATTTGTCAATTTTATTAATTTTTGCAAAGAGGCAAATTTTGGTTTTATTGATTTTTTTATTGCATGTCTCCATTATATGTTCTCTATTTTACTTTTTTCTAGTGTATATTCTCTAAGAAGTAAGTATTGAATGTAGAAGATCCTCAAATGCTTAGCTATTAAGCAACATACTTTTAAGTTCATGGGTCAGAGAAGAAAATATTTTGAATTAAAATATGATGAAAATATGACATATTAAAATATGTGGGATCTAAAACAGTACTTAAAGGAAATTTTATCCCTTTATGTGAACATACTGGAAAAGAATGGTTGAAAAGAATGACCTAAATCTTCATCTCGAAAAGCTAGAAAAAAAGCCCCCCAAATTAAATTAAAATAAAATAGAAGGAAAAAGATAATTTAGAACACAAATGATAAAACAGAAAGCAGACCTATAACAGAAAAAAAAATCAACAAAGACAAAAGTTGATTCTAGGTGTTTGAAATCTTTTAAAAGTTGCTAGAACTTTTAAAGTAAGTCTATGGGTTCTGGAGTCAGGCTGCCTAGATTCAAATCTGGATCTGTCATTTACTAGCTGGGTGGCCTTAGGCCAATTATTTAATCCCTCTGTGCCTCAGTTTCTTTATATGTAAAATAGCATCGATCACAGTATCTACCTATGGGTGGGTTGTGAGTAAAAAGTAAGTGAATTAATGAATAACTATAGAGGTTGCTAATGTGAGAAACTAAACGAATTTAAAAACTTCACTCACCTCTGAAGCAAAGTCAAAAAAGGACACCTAAGTAGGGCATAGAATTTAAAATTAGAATGATGGAGTTCAGGTTCCATCTCTGATCTCTGTCACCTACTGTGCCTTAGCCATATCTCTTAACTTTGCAATGTCTCAGTTTTCTCTTCTTTAAAATGGGCATGATCAGTTCTGCCGGTCACCCAGTTCATGATGATTAACATGTTGAAATATTTCTAGCCTTGTTGGTAAATAACTGCTGACCTGAGCCTCCCACCCAGCATCTTTCCCTCTGTCTCTCTGGTAACTGGTCCAGGACCCCCGGAACACCCAAAGATCCGTCAGCTAACAGACTGGCAAGCTTAGAAGGGTCCCTTTAGGGCATGCTCCATGGCATTAGTCAAGGTCAGTTAAGAGTGGTCAATTCTCAGTCCACTCTCATTATTGAATATTTTGAATATCACCTTGGATAAAACGCCACCACCTCTCAGAACTGTTGTGAGGTGTATGCATATACCTGAAACTTGGTAGGTGCTCAGTACGTGTTGGTGACTTCTCCCCAGTTTTGTGCACCTGCAGCTCTAACTGGGTGAGCTCAGAGTGACTGCGTACTTTTCTGAAATAAGGTGGGGATGGAAATGCATTTTTCTAAAGCAGATGAAAGCAACTATTTCCAGTTCATTTTCTGGCAGAGACTCTGGGCTAGTCTATCCTTTCAACGAGTGACAATGTGGTCCAAGGACCTGCAGCACCAGCTTGACCTGGGAGAGTGTTAGAATAGTAGCGCCTCAAAGTCCCCTCCAGACCTATTGAATTAGAATCTACATTTTAACCAGAACTTCAAGGAGGTTGGGTTGCCCATTAAAGTTTTAGAAGCCTTGATCCCCACGGCATTTGTGTTAAAACAAAGATTTCTACAGCACCCTCCCCCCCCCCGCCCCCCATCTAGTGTTCATTTTCAGAATCATCTGGGCAATTCTTGGGTATACTATGGCTTGAGAATTACAGTTTTAGGTTTTTTTCCCAGCTACTCCCTTGTAGTCTGAGGAGTGGGTCATCGAGCCAGAAGCAGGTTAAAAAATGAGTGTTGCCCACTTGGGAAGTCTTTGGTTTCACAGAGACCCCCTCTGGGCTTTCACATCCCCCCCCACCCCCAATCCTTCTCAGGCTGTCTGGCTCAGACTGTGTTTAGCCAAGACCAACCACAGGCCATTTGGAGGAGTGGAGATTGTTGGAATTCTAAGTTGCTGCTGGTGGGGTTGGTGGTGGTGGCTCTGACCTGAGGCCGCAGGTTTCTCATTCTCGCCCTCCTGCCGGTCCCCAGCCCCCAGATTTCCTTTCCCAGATCTAGAGGTTTTGTGCTCTGAGGTCTCTCCTTACCTCCTGACAGGATTCAAGAAATTCATCTAAAGTCACGATGCCATCTTTATTTTTGTCCATTTTCTGGAAGACACAACAGGAAGAACTTTAACGAACCTGGTAATCTGCATTCCAAAACTTGCTCTTTGTTAACCACCTTTGCCCTGAGAATCAAGGTGGTCTTTCACTGGCCAGACAACTCCACCCAGGCCCTGGTTATAGCCCTTTGACCCCCATGAGCTTCCTTAAAATGGAAAGACTTGCTCCAGACTCTCATTACCTCATCACCAGATTATTCTGCTGACACCCTAATATGTGTTCCCCAGACTCTCTCCCAGCCTGTCCACCTGGCAGAGAGAACGCTGCACATGAGAGGTTCGACTTCTTCTCTGTCACTTACTGTGTGACCCTGAGTGAGTCTTTAAGCCTCTCTGAGCCTCCACTTTTCCCATCTGCAAAGTGAGAGGATTAGACTAGAATGAGCTTGGACATTCTTCAAAACTTTACCACTAGCTTACTTTTTTACTAAAACACCATTCTGGTCATGCCACTCTTCCACTTATGGAGTTAACTGTAGTCATCCAAGCAAGGCTAAACCTCTTCAGTTAAAGATCTCAACCCAGTCCACCCTTGTTTCCAACTTTATTTCCCGTTACTCCCCAGACATAAAGCCTTAACACCTGCATAAACGTGCTTAATGACATCTTCTCTGGCTACTCTGCTCCACCAAGAATTTTTATGGAACTTAGAGGCTATATGGTAGCATTTATACTTCGTAATATACTTCCCTATTCTATTCTGTAGTATATACTTGCCTGCTTAATGAGATCATCTATTACTTGAGGTCAGCATATCCTGTGATTCTTTTCTGTTTTCTACAATGCTTAGAACAGAGTTGCACACACACCACTTGTTCAGATGCTTGTGGGTTGACTGGCCTACGTTGGGCTTAAAGCTCATGCACAGTGTGTGTGCACTTACCTGGAAGAAGACATCCACATGCTGCCTTGGAGTGTCTTCTTTGAGCACGGGATATGTATATTTCCCCATCATGTCGTAGATGGCTTTGACGAGGTCCATCATCTCCTGGAGAGATGATATGGAAGCACAGTATGGGAACCATGAGGTTTTTAGGTGACAGTTTGGGGCTCCTTGTTACACTTGTGAATCTAAGGTGATCCCAGGGACTCTCTTCAGCTGATGAGAGGGCGTTAGAAAGCAAGCGAAGGGGCTATATACTGCGAACCTCCTCCCAGAGAGAGGGTGGCAGGAAATTCTCTTCCCCTTCAGAGGCTCTTGGGTAGGTTACCTTTTCTTGAGCATTATCCTCAGTGAGGGGTTATGTGTGGGATTGGGGTGAACGTGTGTGTACTGATGAACTCACACCCCATTTTTGGAAGACCCTGTCCCCACTCCACAATTCCTTTGAATGGTTGGGTCCAGGTGGCTGTGTTTGTACTGGGTGACCTATCCCTGTGACCACAGCTATTGGGAACAAAGGTGGACATCTGACTAAAGCTGAGCTACTCTATTTTTCTGTGATGAGGCACAGAAATGTAATCAGGAGTGATAGAACTCTGGAGCTCAAAGGTCAAGTGGAGTTAGGGCCAGAGTAGGTGCCACAGGCAAGCCATTTCCAGGATTTACCTGAGGTTGAGTGAGAGCAGACACCAAAAGCTTCTGCAGAAGAGTAGAACTTCTGTGAAGAGTAAAATGGAGCAAATGCACAGAAGGTAGAAGAGATGAGAAAAATGCAGGGAGAAAGAGAGAGCAAGAGGAGAGGAGAGGAGAGAGTAGAGAGAGAAAGGAGATGGCACTGACGGGGGACAAGAAATGTTCTCATGAGCACATGCATGGGCACCTGCATGCACACACACACACACACACACTCACACACACAATCTCTCTCACACACATATACACATTCACACACATACACATTCTCACACACACACTTTCTCTCACACACACATACTCTTTCACACACACTCTCACACACAAACACATACACACACACTTTCTCATACACACACACATATACACAATCACACACACTCAGAGGCTCTCTGAGAAAAACAAATGAAGAAGACAGTTACAAAGACTGGGAGAAGCCCCAGATGGGCAGTGTCTCAGAATGGTTACGCTATAAACTAAAACCTCCTCTTGTGCCTCCCCACCCCTATATTGCTAGCAACTTGAATGTGTCATTTCTGCAGAAGAAAGTGTGGCCATCTTGATCTCAGCAATGCTGGAGGAGGAGGAGGGAAGAGAGAGGAAAGAAGAGGTGAGGGGAGAGAGAGAGATTGGAGACTAACAATCTTCTAGCTTCAGTGGGGATTTCACATGTTCCATCAGACTAGCTATACCTTTTAGGAAACCTCTCAATTTAAGCTAGTTTATGTTGATGATCTTTTATCTTTGTAACCAAAAGACCGCTTTCTACAAAGTCTTTCTTGTTTTATGGGGCCTGATAGATGGTACAAATCCTGTCATGTTTTCTTTCTAATCTCTCAATGCTTCTCCATACAGAGTAAGTGATCATTAAGTACTTGTTAAAAGAGTTAAGTTGTTCTTATTATTAGTGTAGCTCTGTTTCCTCAAGACTGTGAGCTCATGAGGACATATACACGATCCTTCATTGCTAAGGTCTCTGCATGGGCTAGGAACCCCGTGACTGTGGAGTGGCTCTGTGATGTTATGATCACACTGGCCAAGCACAGTATTCCATGGCCCCTCGGAATGCAGGAAAGAGGGCGTAGGAGGACAGCCTTGTCTTTGAGATCTTTGAAATAGTGTCTGTGGAGACCCAGGGAACGGCCTTTCTCCTGGGTTCCTTGTCTGCTGCTCCTCATTCCATGTGCTTATTTTATTGTTTTTATTCATTTTTAACCTATTTTTAATAATATTAGACTTACACAAAAGTTGCAAGAATAGAACAGAACATTCATGTATACCTTTGACCCAGCTTCTCCTAACTTGCCAAAGCACAGCACAGTGATCAAACCCAGGGAATTAACAATGCTACAACAATGCTATGCAGGGCTATTAACAAAACTATGGACCTTATTCACATTTCATTAGATTTTTCCCTAGTGTCTTTTTTATGGTTAAGGATCCCTCATCCATCTAGTTGTGTGTCTCCTTAGTCTCCTCTAACCTGTGACAGTTTCTCACCCTTTGTCTTTCAAGACCAAGACACTTCTGATATACTGCTGGTAAGTTATTTTATGTCTCTGTTTAGGTTAGTCCCTGGTTTTCTTATGATAAGATTGAAGTTATACATTTTTGACGAGAATACCATAGAAGTGATATTATATCCTTCTTGGTACATCATGTCAAAGAGGTATAGGGAGTTGATATATCTTATTAATGGCGATGTGAACCTTGATGACTTGATCAAGGTGGTGCCTGCCTGTCAAGTTCCTCCACTGATTTTAGTATCTTTCAGTGGGTCTTGCCTGCAAAAATTATTATTGTGGTACTTGCCTAATGCTGATTTTGTATTTCCTTTATTCCTTCTTTATTTATTAATTGGAATTCTTCTTTAAGGAAGAGTTGTCCCTTATCCCCCATTTGTCTATGAATTCAATTATTTATTTGAATACATATTTATTATTTATTTGAACACATATTTGAATATATATAATCTGTAATTATGTATATATAATTTAGTAGGGACTCATGGATATTTTCTTTATTTTATAGCTTATAATCTAATATTAACATTTTTAATTTTGTTGCTCAAATTGTTCTGTTTTGGTGATTGGGAACTCCTTCAGACTGATTCCTGTAGCTTTTTGACATGTCCCATCCTTTTCTTTTTTTCTTTTTTAGGCACTTCAATATTTTCCAGCACTACAAGGTACTCCAGGCTGATCTTGTATTTTCTTGTTCCCAGTCCTGGAATCACTGACTTCTGCAAGGAGATTGATTCCTTTAATTGGAGGATGGTGTTCAGAAACCAAGGTCTGGGTTCAAGGTATCCTCATTGCTAGAGGGTGTCATTGTCTTAGGCCCTCCCGGTAGAACTAGGAGATACACGTCTCTATCCATGTGTTTATTTTTTTATTTTTTAAAGATTTTATTTATTTATTTATTTGACAGAGAGAGAGACAGCGAGAGAGGGAACACAAGCAAGGGGAGTGTGAAAGGGGAAGCAGGCTTCCCGCTGAGCAGGGAGCCTGATGCGGGGCTTGATCCCAGGACCCTGGGATCAAGACCTGAGCCGAAGGCAGACGCTTAACAACTGAGCCACCCAGGCGCCCCTCCAGGTGTTTATTTTAAAATGTCTTCATAAGTCCCTCACATCCACGTTATCATAGGTTCTTTCCTGAGTACCTTTATTAAGAGAAAGGATTTAAAGACCAATTTTAATTGCTCTCTAAGGATTTTCATTGCCTAATTTGGATGAGATTATCTCCAAATGATTGCCAGGAGAGGTTCCAGTTGTCTTTTCTAGGAAGCTGCTTATTCACACTTTCTTTTTCTTTTAGGAGGTACTTTATTAATTCTGCCATCTAGAGAGGTCTGATGGGTATTAATGGCGACAATTTTGTCTAGTCTGCAAGTAAGAAAGAGGGAGCAGGACTTAGTGAGGCTATTCAGTGATGGAATTATGACTGCACCAAGGTTGAAAACTGTGTTGTAAGTCCCATTTTAGGGTCCTTTCTTTATATATTTTGTGAAGTAGTATTTGAATATTTTGGAGCATCATAAATTTGAGTAGGTATAGAAGCATTAAATTATTTGCAAAATTGAGATAATATTATACATACTATTTATAAAGTGATTTTTATTTTTCTTTGAAGATTTTATTTATGTATTTGAGAGAGAGAGAGAGAACAAGCATGAGTGGAGGGGAGGAGCAGAGGGACAGGGAGAAGCAGACTCCCTGCTGAGCAGGGAGCCCAATGTGGGGCTCAATCCCAGGACCCCAGGATCATGACCTGAGCCAAAAGCAGATGCTTAACCGACTGAGCCACCCAGGTGCCCCTATAAGGTGATTTTTTAAATGTAATGTGTCAGATGAATTTTTACATCTTCTTACTTTTGTGTGACTTTAAATGGCCACCTGTTATTCCATTACATGAATTTACTGGAATTCATTGAACATATCTGTTACTAGTGCATATTAGGGTTTTTACACTCAGGGGAATCATCCACCACTTTATTTTCAGCACCTAGAACACCTTACAAGCCCTCAAATATACATTGAGCAAATACTTGACTGAATGAATGAGGCATGAACATTAGAGAGCTCAGCAGAGTTGAAGTGAAAATTGGAGATGACATTTGTAGCTCTAGACACTGCGCCCAGCACGTAGAAACTCGGGGAGTGGGATGTTACAGGGTCCACGCTGCAACTGAGAGACCAAGATACAGTAGATATCAAAGTGAGTTTTGAGATAGACCTGTGGGTATTTCATTGTCTAGACACCACATGTAACTCCGAGGATCTAAAAGCGTCAAGCAGTGAAGAGTCAGAAATTGTTTGTGATGTGTTTAGAGATAGCTGCACCTGCCATCATCCCCTCCTATGGTTTTATTAGTAGGCAAAATAGATTGTGGCCAATATGATCCTATTATAGTCCCCTCTTCCTCAAAAATGTCCCTTCCCTCTTCTAGACGGTGTTTTCAACGCGATCATTCCAACTTTCAGTTTTAACTTGCGGCTTTCAACCTGCAAAATGTGGGTTCCCCTGGGAAGAGTAAGTCTACACTAAAAGCATGACACCCCTTTGGAATGTGCATTGAATATAAGGGACCCAGTGACAATGAATGAATCTGCTTAATCCTTTCTTGAGTGCTTGGGAACAGGGCAGGGTAGAGCAATGGGGGAGGTCAAAGGTGACCTTCTTCCTTTTGCCAGGAATCAGCTCTGTTAGCCCCAAAGCAGATCCCTCTTCATTCAGACAACTTCCTCTTCGTGATTGTGACTGGGGCTGTTTTCTGCTTATAATTAGATGCCTTCACTGTAGCTCTTTCATGCCTCTCGCCTCAGCTCACTTACCTCTTTGTTTATGTATCCGTCTTTATTGATGTCATACAAATTAAATGTCCACCTTAGCTTCTCATGGACGGTTCCTCTCAGTAAAATCGACAGAGCAGTTACAAAGTCCTGACAAGTAGAAGAGGCATAAATGACATTAACCACCAAGCCATGGAGTGGGCCACAGCTCTGTCTTTAGGTCAGACTCTATGACTGTTTGTACCGAATGGTATCTCCCATGTCCGCTGTCCCCTGAAGGATATGGCCTACCTCAGTGAAAGCAGCCCCCCTTCCATTCCCTACCTTGCCCATTCTAGGGGACAGAGTCTCTTTGAGGAAGAATGTGTGTGCTGACATCTCCAGACTCTTCTGGTAGTGCCTTATCCCACAGCTCCAATTACCCTAAGACTGGCTACAATCTACTACCTGAGTTCACAACCCTCTCTTACCACCTCCTAGCTCTTTGGCCTTGGGAAAGCCACTCCATCTCTCTCTGCCTTACTGTCCTCTTCTGCAAACTGGTAATAAATCATAGAACTGGACCTTGTAGGGTTACTGTGGGGACTAAATGAATTAATCCATGCAAGGCACTAGTGTAGAGTCTGTCACATGGCTAGCTCCTTGCATGTGAGCTATTCAGCTGTTATCTGTAGTCCCTCGAGGCCCTGAGCTCCTGGAGGGGAGGGGCAGCTGCTGCATCCTTCCCTATCTTAGGAAATGGACTGAAGGACTGAAGTGTTTGATGATCCAACTGTCCCTTCAATAGGCCACAGCTTAGAGGAGGGGGGCGGGGCCCGGGACTCAGAGACAAGCGTACCTCGAACTTCACAGAGCCTGTCTGGGTGGTGTCGAAGGCGTGGAAGAGGTAATGAGCATACATGCTGGCATCTGCAAGGCACAGAAGGAAAGGCAGGTGACGGGAGCCGGGGCTTCACAGAGGGGAGCGAGAATGCTTGGAAACAATAAGAAGTAGAAGAGGGTGCTGCTGGGGTGATGGGAAGGTGGAAACGGGGTGTGGGCAAACCCACTGTGGAAACTGGGACCCAGGTGGCTGTCTTGGGGTTTAGGTGGGAAGTTCTTACAGCAAAGACAGGCCCTTGCCCCTCTGTCTAGTCTTCCTGGGAGAAAGACCCTCCTGCCTGCCTGGGTGGGTAATTCTTGGTGTGTGGGTAACATGGCAACTGTGTGCAGAAGAAGCTCTCCCAAGTGGTAGAGCAATGCCATGGAGTGAGCACTCACCAGGGAGCAGACAGACCTGGGCTTGGTTAGCAGCTCTGTCCCTATTTAGCTGTGTGACCACAGGCATCTAGCAGAATATCTCTGAGCGCCTTTCTCCCATCTCTTACAAAGGGATGTAGCAAGACCTATCTCTTCGAATTTTTGAAAAAGTATGTTAAATTTTTCACATAGTCACATCATCAAAACCATCACCAGGCCTGCCACATGATCAAAATTCAAAAAAATGTGGCTCAATAGAACTCGACAACAGTGATTCTGGGGCCTGTGTGGGGTGAAGCCGTACCCGCCCCCTGCAACTTGGGTAGGGACCCTGTAGTGGGTCCCCACACCTAGGAAGGCCCCCTCTGCTGCTGAAGAGGCCCAGGGGAAACAGAGCCTAAGAAGTGTTCGGGACACTTGGATCTCCATTTCGTCAGGACCCAGGATCAGGGAGGGCTCCTGCAGGGGATAACTCTCGGGGGCAGGAAAGGAGTCGGCATGTGACACATGGAAGCCATGGGAAAAGCCACAGATGTCCTAGGCCCATGGAGCCAGAGCAGCTTCCTTCAGCAGTCAGGCATGGCAACACAGTGGCCATGGGCCTGGAGCACTCATTAACCTGGACTCAGATGCACTACTTTATGTTCCCTCCGTCTTCTTGGATTCATTTATTTCTACAGTCTCTGGTATTTATTAAAGTTCTCTTTCAAAATTCCACCTTGCCTCAGCTGTTGTGAGGGAAAGAATGGAGAGCTTGGGGCACAATGGTGGGACCAACAGGGCAAAGCTTTTCATCAGACGCTTGTGGGATAGAATCCTGCTCTGCCACTTACTAGCTGTGTGACCTTGAGTGAATTGCTTAACTTCTCTGAGACGTAGTTGCCCCATTGGGCATATAGTGCAGTGCCTGCTGTCTAGAGCTGTTATGAGACTTTGTGATATTGCTTTGTTAATCTCTCCTCTCCTGGAAATGATCCATTTCAGAGCTCTTTTCTGCTAAAGCTTTAGCTAATTCCATATCTTGTAATAAGGGAGGGAAATCTTACCCTGAGTTGTCCTTGACCTTGAGGAGGAAGCAGATAACAAGAAGCATGAACTTGGAGGAAGAAAGGCTGCTCACCAGAGAGGGAGCTGGGAAGGATCTTTTCAAGATCAGACTCACCTCCATGAGGGAAAAACTGAGCGTAGATCTGTTTGAATGTTTCTTCATTGACCACACCACTGGGGCACTCCTGTATGAAGGCGAGAGAGTAAGTGGGAGGGATGGGGGCCCACCCCAGAAAGAGGAGACTGGGTCCAGCCTTGGGATTTTATTTTTCCCTATTATCCCTGATGAGCAGGGACTGGACAACCACCTGCACAATTCTGTGTCTCCAAGTGAGTAGCTGGGACATAGACCCACCTTAGGACTGAAGCTGCTTTACAAAATGATGAGAATGGGCACCGTGAGGTGGAAAGAGCTTGGGATTTGGGCTTAGGAAGATCTGGATTTGGATCCTGGCTCAGCCTCTTCTAGGCTTTGTGGCTTTGAGTGAGTTAGGCTCTGATCCTCAATGTCCTTACCTGTAAAATGGGGCTAACAGTACCTTCCCGACAAGGCTATCATGAGGTTTAATATAGGAAATGATGTGGCAAATTAATACACTGGCATTCAGGCTTACACATCAGTCTCCATGAGCTCAGTTAGCACAGAGCTAAATCCCATCAGGATGGACAATATTGACAGGGTGAATGGGTTACGCTAAGGCTAGAAGCTGGGCCAAGGTGAATTCTCCACTGTTGTGCCTGCCATCCCGTGAAGTTCCTGGGCTACTGGCCAGTTTCCCATCTATCGAGGTTGTCTCATTCTTGCCTGGAGTCTTTCCTTCTAGCCAGGTGATCTTGCCTTCATGCCCCCTTTAGAGAATTGGCCTTTCTTTTACAACTACATATATGGAAGAGCTCCCTGATGGGCCCCGTTGGCATTTGGAAGACTTAGCTTCAGGTGGGAAATTCTGCCTGGGCCTTCAGATGCCCTGTGGGCCTTACATTTTTGAAGCCTCGATAAAGGACTTGCAGCTCCCTCTTGGTGAAGTTGGTCTGGGCCTCAAGCTGCTCCAGTCCCTCGGGCCGATGGCAAACCATGGTCATTTCCAACTCATCTTCAATCTTATCTGGAACCAGAGGAGATGGCGTTGGAGGGGCTGACCTCAGTGGCCACTCGTCAGACCACAGTCTTGGCTGTCAAAAGAGTGGTGTTGTGACCTGGTACACAGGGTCGTGGGCTGGGGTCACAGTGCAGATGATCTTTCTCCCTTGGGCCTCCCCCTGCCCCCTGCCTAGTCACTTCTGTCTCACACTCGGTCCAGCCTTTGGGCCAGCTGTGTCAGACCACACAGGGAGGGAGCTTCAGGCTGGAGAGAAACACATTCCAAGTGGAGATGAGGGTAGATGGGCTCAAAGTAAGTCTATATGAATACAGTTCCCTTTCTTTCAAAATAACTTCTTTGCACATTCAATTTGCTGCTCGCTGAACCATGTTAGAGACACAGGTAAGTGAGTGGAATGGTTAACAGCTTCCAAACAGGGAAGGGAAGCAAATCTATTAAAAAGGTAGAGCAAAGCCTTACCATTTGGTACAATTAGATGAAGTCTAACACGATTTAGCAAAGAGTTCCAATTATGGCACGTGAAATATTAACTTAAGAATGCAAATGCATTTTACAGTGTTGTTTTGTAATATCTATTAGATGTTCTTAAATAATAGGAAGATGACTTAAATGGGAACTACTTGATATAAATCAAATCTTCTGAAAGCATTTGAAGAGCTCAGAAAACAGTTGTCTGAAGTAGCAGTTTGTTCCTCCAATAAGTATGACAAAATAATGTAATTTTGTACTAGTTATTGAGAAAGTGTCAGTCTATGAAAGCAAGAAATCCGCCCATCACCTACTGAAGGATCACAAAATCCAAGTAAGTGGAAGTTTCAACGTTTGACCATCCCAGAAGGATAAATGAGTGTTTTCCTTTGGGTCCTGCCAGACGCTTTCTATAAATTTACTCCAATCAAGTATCAATTGTCGGCTAACCTTCTCTGCCTGTTGTTGTCGTGCAGACATTACCAAATCCATATATTGAACGACTGTAAATCTGGGCTGGCAAGAATAGTGATGAAATGGACAGGGTGTTGGGAACGCGCACACTCCACATCGCATCCCATGACCATGGAGAGTGGGGACAGGCTGCGTTTCTGTCTGAGAGAATAGGATGAGCAGGTGCTTAACACTGAGTACATTTCTCCAGTCAGTGCCAAGCTCTTGCTACCAGATTTGCCCTCCAGTTGTCACTTCTTCTTTTGAGACTGTGATCTCAAAACAAAAGGAATCCATCAAAGTGAGTTTGTATCTTGGACATCTTCCTAAGGAAATGGACATTTGGGTAAGGTTCCAAGGGAGAGGCAGAAGAACTTGGTACTTGGTCATCTTTCTTATGTGCTGGGCAACAGGTATCACCTTATCCTCTGGGGAGTAGGGCAGATTATTCAATATAAATAAGATACTCCGATTATCCAACATAGCTACAAGTGACCGATTTCTTTGTAATTCTTACAGAGCCTTTAATTATTGTTATGTTTGTAGTTGGCAAGTTAGGTAGCAATTACCTAAACACTGCAGCATTTCTATGTAAATCAAAGGGCCATTCCCCTCCCCAAAAGCAACTCCCCCCCCACATAAAACTAATTCAGAATACTCACATATATTTTTAGCTCATTTAAAAATAGAAATAAAATTGTTGGTTTAAATTTCCCAGTATTAGATTTAATAGTAATTTTATTTTGAAAAATACAGATATTTAAAACTCGGAAAAGAGGTGAACTATTAAAATGTAAACCAGAAAGATAGAAATGATGTATTTTTGCAGGTGTCTGGTATATCTTTCCCAGTTTAACTTATGCAGAAGCTTAAAAGACTTCTTTTGCAATATTGGCTCATTTCTATTAATCTTCTTGTGACCAAATTCTTCACAAGATCAGGGAAGTCTCTTTGAGGAAGTTTAAGAGAATCTTTCGAATTCATAAGCTGCACTTACCATCTCTATTATAAATACACTAAGTAGTTACTGAAATATCCAATATTAGGCCCACTTCATTAAGGGAGAAATTGACTTTATCAATAAATGATTTGTTTGCTGTCTGGGTAGCAGGATCGATTTCCATATCAGATTCCGTAATTTCTGAATATTGGGATGCTGACTGCCAAGCTTTGTTTTGGTTTTACTTTTCATCACCTCCTAATTGTCAGGCTGTGGGAGCATCAGTCACTGAAGGAAATTCATGTCTTTGGAGATCAAGATGCTGGGAAGTAGCCTGCATGTCTTAAACCAGTGGTTCCCAATTTTTTGTTTTACTGTGTTTCATAGGAAGAACGACAATTTACATCACGCTCCAGTATATACACACATATAAACAAAGATTTCATGAAACATTTTGAAGGAAAAATTCCTTAAACACTTTCCTCTATTAATGTGAGATGTACTCTGTTCTCAATTTTAATCTACTCCTTTGTAAAATTATGCTGATTGTGACCCTCATGTGTCATGACCTGTGAATGGAAGATCTAAGTTGTCTGTAACTTGTGACAACGTTCTAGAAGGGCCCACATCTCAGCATTCCCTTCCCTCATGCCTGTTCTCCCTTCACCGCCTTTGTCTGGTTCCAACCACTGTAAATATATTCTGAAGAAATTTCTGAAGGGGCTGCTGAGGTTTCCACATTCCTCCTGTTGCACCAACCCTGTCTCCCCCTCCCCCCACCTCCAGGGAGTCCCTGGGTGCTGCCCAGGTGGCCCCAGTAAAGGAAGGAGGGCTGCTCAGCTCCCTGGTTGGAGGAAGAAGAAAACAGAATTAATAGGTGGGGAGCCACCTTGACAGTTCCTTTTGAGATCTGTTAAGAGTCTGCAAGGCAAAATATTGCTTATTATTATTTTTGTTATTAAAAGTAATGGTGAGCCAATTACTAAGGCTGAGTTTGAATGATAGACATCAAAAGAACCTAGAAATGTAATATTATGGGGATAACTACATAATAAGAATAAATTAAAATACTTTCAGTTGGTAAAGTACTTTTAATCTGTAAAATGTTTTCATGCCTGTTGTCCCATTACAACCTTGTGTGTGGTGGGGAGTGGGGGACCATTACTCTCTTTATCCGAATATTAGAAAGATGAGTGTCCTAACAAATAAGGAGATTTTCTAACCATGAGTATCTTAAACAGTGATTAATTGTCTATTACTGTGGGTAGTTAGAGCAAGATAGAAGAACCAACTGTAGGGGATTTATAGCAGGAAATTCCCGGACTGAAGGGTAAGTTGGAGAAGATTCAGATTAAGTGGTCCTTATTGTTTTGAGGTCACAGACTCCTCTGAATGGGGGATGAAAGCTTTAGACCCTCAGAAAAAGAAAATGCACCTAATTATGGCATTTTCCTGTATTTTTAGTTAGGTCCTGCATATTTTAAACACGTGGAGCCTATGTTAAGGGCTTCTAACAGAGGCGATCTCTTCCAAGTCTGTCACTACATGGCTTTGCCTGAGTCATACAGCCAGTCCGTGACAGAACGGGACCTAGAATCCTGCCAGTCCAGGGTCTCTTTTATAGATCTGGCTTCCATGTGCCCTTACATTGGCTTCTGCTTGCCTCAAGCACAGATTGCAAAGTGGTTTGTAACCAATGTTACAAAGTTTGCAATGTTGGGAGCTCTGCTCCTGATAAGCTCTGTGCCAGTGTATAAGTTAGCCCCTGAGACTATGAGCTTTAGGAGGACCCAAGCCTTTGGTCTCCTCACTAGTGAGTATCTCCTCTGTTAGCTCCATGACCATGACTGCAGTCAAAAAACCATGGCCATGATGACCTCCTTCTCCCTGGGCTAGAAAATAGTCTCTCCATCTTAGGGTCTCTGGGTTAGACTTTATAATCCCCCATCTGGTTTTGACATTACAAAATGGTAGCCCTTGACATAGAATGCAGACCAAAGACAGATCTTGTTTAGTCTATAAAATGTGGTGGGTTTTTTTGTTTGTTTGTTTTTGTTTTTGGAACTAACTGCCAATATTTCAAGATGAGAGGTTGACAAAATAGGATTTTTTATTTCTCTTGGAAAATGGGATTATCTGACAACTTTGGTGTCAAATTCTCACAAAGCAATAGTTTACAAGAGCTGAGCAGAGGCTGTTCCCTTTGAGCAGCCAAAGTCTCTAGTGCTCCCCCTGTTCATCTGTGGCTCACCTAATTCATTTATGCTACTTTCCTGACCCCATAGGCATTTGAGGTCCTGATCTCTCCTGCTTACTTCCCACTTACCTACATTTTCTTACCTCACTCACCTCCTAGTCAGCCAACTTTTCTCTCCCTCACTATTTGTTTATTTAAACACATTCCGTTTTGCTTCACAAAGGACTTAAAACTGATTATATAAAATAAATATAATAAAATAAAGAGATAAAGTAATAAGAAAAAAGTGCCCTAGAAAACGTTAATTAGATTAGGAGGTCAAGACCATGGGGAAAAAAAGAACTTAGAAATTCAGGTCATTTGTTCCAAGCAGTGACTACACTTGAACCACAAACTGGCTCTGAGCTTTTCCATATATCTTGTTGCCCATGAGAGAAAAAACATATCAGTTTCTTAGTGGGAGCAAAGCTTTTCCTATAACTTGTCTCTCAAGAATGTTTTTAACGGTTTCTATCTAGGTGGGGTTTCTTAACAAGAGGCAAAGAAAATTGGTGAGTGAGTAGACTAATTGCAAAATATATTTGATTAAGAAGCTCTTTTTTTTTTTTAAAGTAATGTGACCAAAGTAGTCAAGTTAGTTTAAACTTTTTTACCTCTATGATACTGGTAATACCACCAGGCGATGTCTAGGAAAAAGTAAGAAAACATTTTACCAAATCCATTCATTAAAAAAAAACAAAGCATACTTATTTTCCATGGAGATTCCACTCTGAGGGTGTCCAGGTCACCATCCAGCTCGACATATGCAAAGAGGTCTTGTAGCAGAGCTGGAGCTGACCTTCTCCCCATTCTTTACCCACTGTCAGAACAGGCAAGAGCAATGGGTCACCTCGCAGTGCCCACAGCTCCCAGCAGGGGGCTC